TGTGGCGTAACTTCCTACGAATATGGCCAGAAGTGTGTATTCTAGAGAAGATGGAGCATAACCGAGTGGTTTGTATACGGACCATACGCCCCATAGAATGCCACTATGTGGCCGGCCCTTACCACAGGGACCGCGCACGAAATTACACTTTGGCATGATCGTTTGGGACATCCTGGACGAATAGCGATGCGCCGTATCCTCAAAACTTCACACAGGCATCCACTAACCCGAAGCTTAGGTTCGATCCATGAAATTGCATGTCAAACATGTTCTATGGGAAAGCTTATTACTAAGCCTTCTTATGACAAGATTCGTTCGAATCCTCCCATTTTTCTACAACGGATTCAGGGGGACATTTGTGGACCGATTCAACCTCCCTGCGGACCATTTAGATATTTTATGGTTTTGGTTGACGTTTCTACACGTTGGTCACACGTGTGCTTGTTGTCCACAAGGAACGCTGCATTCTCCAAACTGTTGGCTCAGGTTATCAAGCTCAGGGCTCACCACCCTGATTATCCGATCAAATCTATTCGATTGGATAATGCTGGAGAATTCACATCTAAAACTTTTGATGACTATTGCATGTCGGTTGGGGTTGAAGTTGAACATCATGTACCCCATGTTCACACCCAGAACGGCCTGGCAGAGGCTTTCATTAAGCGTTTACAAATGATTGCTCGATCGTTGGTCATACGTACCAAGCTCCCGATCGCTGCTTGGGGCCATGCAATATTGCACGCAGCAAAGTTGGTCTGCCTGAGGCCTGTTGCGACACAACCATTTAGTGCCCTTCAGTTGGTCACCGGATGCGAACCCGACATATCGCATCAGCGCGTTTTTGGTTGTGCGGTCTATGTGCTGATCTCGCCGCCCTTACGTACAAAAATGGGGCCTCAGCGAAGGATGGGAATCTATGTCGGATATGATTCTCCTTCGATTATTCGTTACTTAGAACCTTTGACAGGCGATCTGTTTACCGCTCGTTTCGCGGATTGTCACTTCTATGAGACAGTCTTCCCGTCGTTAGGGAGAGATAAGAACGTCAACATTCCTAATGAACGACGCGAATTATCGTGGACGACTCCCACTTTGTCTCATTTAGATCCCCGCACCGCTCAGTCTGAAGCTGAAGTGCAGCGCATATTAGATCTCCAGAGCATAGCTCAGAGCATGCCAGATGCTTTCACCGATCTAGCGCGCGTGACAAGATCACATATTCCAGCTGCGAATACGCCTGCAAAGATGGATGTACCAAATGTACGACGGATTACCCTCCTGGAAGCCCGGGACGCCAATTCTGGTGATCCACGTACATTAGCGGCTAGCCAATCATCTGCCCCTACACAAAAGCGTGGCAGACCCCTTGGTTCAAAGGATTCACACCCCCGGAAGAGGAAAACCACGGCACAAGGTCCTGAAGAGCCTACCGTGAATCCGACTATCACTTACTCATTTTACCCAACTCATGAGGAAATTCTAGATTATGGAAGCGTCCTTGAAGAGACGAATCCTCCTCCCGAGAATCGTGAGATTTCGGTCTATTATGCTAGCTTAGATGATGTGTGGCGTAGAAATGAGATGATTGTTGACGATGCATTAGCATTTGCAGTAGCTACTGAGATCATGTTGAGCGATGACATTGAACCGCGTTCCGTTGATGAATGTCGACGTAGAGCTGATTGGTCAAACTGGAAACAAGCAATCCAAGTCGAACTTGATTCACTTGCGAAACGTAAGGTGTTTGGACCTGTAGTTCCTACTCCTCCACATGTGAAGCCCGTTGGCTACAAGTGGGTTTTCGTTCGGAAGCGTAATGAGAAGAACGAAATTGTGCGTTACAAAGCTCGTCTTGTAGCACAAGGTTTCTCACAACGCCCCGGGATTGACTATGACGAAACTTACTCACCCGTTATGGATGTGATTACTTTTCGATACCTTATCAGTTTGGTAGTTTCCGAAAAACTGGATATGCAGCTGATGGACGTAGTAACCGCGTATCTCTATGGGGATCTTGATACGGAAATTTATATGAAAGTTCCCGAAGGACTTACATTGACTGGTTCAAATATTTCCAAACCCCGGAACACGCTCTCAATTCGGCTGAGGCGTTCACTATACGGTTTGAAACAATCCGGAAGAATGTGGTATAACCGTTTAAGTGAGTATTTGACTAGTCAGGGATATGTGAATAACGAACTATGCCCTTGTGTGTTCATTAAGAAGTCACATTCCGGATTTGCAATTGTTGCAGTATATGTCGATGACATGAATCTCATCGGAACTCCTGAAGAGCTCGCGAGAACTGCTTCGCACCTGAAGTCGGAATTTGAGATGAAAGATCTAGGTAAGACTCGATACTGTCTCGGTCTCGAGATAGAGCATTGTTCGGATGGAATCCTAGTACATCAATCGAACTACACCCAGAAGGTGTTGTGCCGTTTTAATGAGGATAAAGCGAAGTCTTCGAGTACTCCTATGGTCGTTCGTACGCTAGATGCAAAGCGAGATCCTTTCCGTCCGAAGGAAGGAGGATGATGAAGAGATTTTGGAGCCTGAAGTTCCTTATCTAAGTGCGATAGGCGCTTTATTGTACTTAGCTCAATGCACTAGACCCGACATCTTCTTCGTTGTTAATCTTTTGGCAAGATACAGCAATGCACCAACACGCAGACATTGGACTGGCGTGAAAGACATCTTCCGTTACCTTAAGGGTACTACGGATTTGGGCTTATTCTATCCCTACGAATCCTCGAGTGATGCCGCACCCTATGCTCATTGGGTTGATTCTCGCCTTGTTGGTTATGCCGACGCTGGATACTTATCTGATCCGCACAAGGCGCGTTCTCAGACGGGTTATGTCTTTACCGTTGGAGGCACCGTAATATCTTGGAGGTCAACTAAACAGACCTTAGTTGCCACTTCGTCTAACCATGCTGAAATTCTCGCCTTACATGAAGCAACTCGGGAATGCTTTTGGTTGAGAGCAGTAGTGGGTCATATTCGAAGCTCCTGTGATCTTCATCCCGCCGTTAATGCCCCGACGACGATTTTTGAAGACAACGCAGCTTGCATCGAACAGCTCAAGAAGGGTTACATCAAAGGAGACAACACCAAACATATTGCGCCGAAGTTCTTCTTTACACATCAACAACAAGAGCATCAGAAGATTGAAGTCACGCAAATCCGATCACAAGACAATCTGGCCGACCTCTTCACCAAATCATTACCGAAGGCGACGTTTCAGAAGCTTGTTCATGGAATTGGTATGCGTAAACTTTCTGAGTTGTAACTTTGCTATTTCTCTGTGGAATTATGTCAAACTCAGGGGGAGTATCTTCTGGATACTTGCTTGATCTTAATGTACTCTTTTTCCCTACGATTAGGAGCATTTTTCCCACTGGGTTTTTGCTACCTAACTAGGTTTTAACGAGGCACCCACCTTGGGCTGGTCATATCCCTGATGACGTCCTGTAGACGTTTCTTTTGACTTTGCATTTCTCACGCATTTTTCCTTAGACTATGGATTTTGTCCCTACTTGGGTTTTTGCCATAGCCTTAGGGTTTTTTAGTGAGACTTACTACTTATGCAAGTTCCTACCTTAATGAGAATAAGCGTTGTTCCTTGGAATCATTGCCGACGAGTCGACTTCCTCAACTTCTGCATGATGCTGAATCTACCTTGAGTATTTACCCACTCAAGGGGGAGTGTTGTAAACATTCCTAGTTTAAGTATGATTGTGTAAATCCTAGATAAGATTTGATTCTAGTTATCCTTTCCTATTACAACTTGTATTACTTGGAGGAGAAGGAATATCTTCTCTCCCTTTACTACTATAAATAAAGGCACAATGTAGGAGGGATAACAACACACACATTCCCCTACAAATCTACAAACACACATCTCTCTCCTCTCTCTCTCTGCCGCCGGCCCTAGTCCATCTGTCAGATAAAATAGACCACAACAACATGTATTTTGTATCATCATTATTTCAGGGCCATAATAGTTCATATGAATATATGTATTAAGAATGAGTATCCTCTCCGGATTCTCTTTGTAAAGATTATGGGGATCCTCAAATCATATCCGTTCATTATACATTGTGCAGTCAGAAATCATTTTAAATATTTGTATTTAAAATTAAACATGAACAGTACATGACGAAAATTAATCGCACGATATACGATGAACGAACATGATTTAAGGATTCTCAAAATCTTCACAAAGAGGATCCTCATTCATGTATTAATACAATTACCATGTGATAGTCGATATGGTAATTATATTAGATACACACAAGTATAGCAAGCACATTCTTTATTAATAGTATTTTTTATTGACTTCACTAAAACCTTAATCTAGAAACAAAAGATTTTAAAGGACATATAAAACGCGAAAGTTTTGACAGAATTATCCAAAATGACTATTGATTTAGTTGTGATAAGTTCATAAATTGAACCATATTCACGGATTTTAAATTTAGGAAATAAAACCCCAATTAGGTCGAAATTCAAGAACAAAAGCTCCAACGATCTTTTTTTTATTTTTCTCTTGGTGTTAGCCATCGAACAGGTGAGACTGCCGTACCTAATATCCAAGCGGAGAGTAGGCTTTTCTCCCTTTTTTGTATATCATTTCTTCTTATTTAAACAGTCACGATTAAATCATATCAACATCTTATATTAATTTTTTTTTTATAAAAAAAAAAACAAAATGAAAAATGTAAGAGGATGAGAGGAAATGAGAAGGGAATTAAAAGAGAAAAAAATCTTACTCCTAATTGGTGATTCGGTAGCCAATCCAGGGGTAATTATCAAGATTGAATAAGGACGGATGAGAGGCTAAAATGAGTATTTATTCTTTCCTTTTCCTTTTTGTTAAAAGTTGTATTCGAGGAGTGAAAACTGATCATCTAATGCAAATGATATATAAAAGGCAAAATTGGATTAATAGTCCCCAGCGATAGGGTATTCGAAGGATTGTCCATGCAGTAAAAAAATTAGAATTTAAACTTTTGTGGTGATGATTATTAGCAAAATTAACCCAAAAAACAAACTTCTGTTAAACTCAGTTAAGTATAAGGATAAAAATGTCCAACCACTCTTTATTTCTGCTAGCCTTCTCTTCCTCTCTCTGTGTCTGCGTAATTATACCTCCACAGTGCAATGCAAGGCCACGATCGGATCAACACGCGTCTCCTCGCGAGCTGAACTACCACAACTAGTTTCCGGAATGCTATCTCATTTACCAAATCCCCAACCTTCTTCATCTCCAAAGGTATCCCCTTGTGCTTCACCTCCCCTTGTTTCTTCACCCAAGATAAGCGAGCTTCATGAGCTTCCTAGAATCGAACTAGATTGAGAACCAACAAATCCCAGTTCATCAGCTGCCAAACCAACAAATAATAAATTAGATGGCAAGAAGAATGAAGCACAAACTGTTCCAACATCCACCCCCCATCATATATATGTCCGGCTGGAGCAATTTAGTTCTAACTTCTAAGAAGGGAACATCAACTGGTGAGGAAAATACTGAAAAACGCACGCTAACCTCGAATCGGACTAGATTGAGAGGCCACTTCAGAAACATTTGATACTGGTTTGAGGTTTGATAGGGAAATTGGCGACAATGGAGGTGAAACAACTTCTTCAGCCTTGCCTGGAACTTAAGGAGACTCCAAATGTCTTGCTACATGCAATGCCATTGCTCTTTGACTGCTTGAAGGTATGGAGAAGCTTCGGGGAACTATCAAAGGTGGAATTGGAAGTGGAGATACTGCATTTGATCCGATCGTGGCCTTGCATTGCATCGTGGATGTATAATTACACAGACAGAGAGAGAGAGGAACAGAAGGCTAGCAGAAATAAAGAGTGTGGTTGGACATTTTTATCCTTATACTTAACTAAGTTGGACACAAGTTTGTTTTTTAGGTTAATTTTGCTAATAATCTTCACCACAAGAATTTAAATCCTAATTTTTTTACCACATAGGCAATCCTCCGAATACCCTATGACCACGAAGACTATTAATCCGATTTGGCCTATATGAAAATGCTAGCAACCTTGTACTCACATTTTCAAATTGCAAGTCTTTTTTGTTTTTTAAACAAACGATATTATCCACATTAAGGGAAATGAGATATAGTTAGTCTCTTAATAGACTAGCAATATTGTATTTAAAATTATATTTTCTATTTTCATCATTTAATATTCTTTCTAAACCCCAAACCCTAAAAATTCTATGTTCTTAACTGCTTTATAATTGAATTACCACCAGCAAATACTGGTCATTTATCATTACCCAAAAAAAAAACACACAAAAAGATTGGTGTAAATGGTGAAAATAATGAGTTTTGATTATTTTTCAAACCAAATTTGTAAACCATATTATAAGTCACATACATAAAATAGGCATGTTAATCAAAACTTAGGTAATAATTCAATCATCAACAATTAGGTCATATAATTTACAGAATGAGTATTGTTAAGGAGACTCCATTGACGCTCTACCCACTCATATTTTTTACACAATATTTTATAATATTAATATAAAATTAACATTATATTATGAGACGATAAAGAATCCATGAAATACCTTACTATTGAAAAGATTCTCTAGCATTTCTTTCAAAACTTAACTTAAATTATAGTCCATAATAAAACAATAAATTTGAACTTGATCCTAATAAACGACAGTACTGGAGCTGCATCAACCACATTGGAACTTGAAACTCCTAAAGAAAAATAAATAATAAAAGGATCACAATGCTAAAACAACCTAGTTCAGTCTGCAGCACATTCTACAGATATTAGTGGACGCACTCCAAGCTTGTCTCTGCAATTTGCCTTAAAACAAAAGCTGATTTCCAAAAGAGGACTTAAGGCATGAACTCCATTCGTTCCAAATATGGAAATATACAGTCATCACATCGCTACATAATCAAACTTTAAACACCACTCACAGTCCAGTTCCAGAAATAACTAAAAAAAACCAGACCCAACTCCAACAAAGCTTTGATTCGAATATATAAAATGCTGGCTTTAATTTCCTTATTTGTTCCACAAATATGGCAATTATTTTTAAAGTATTTGGTTAAGTACGGATTAAGCATCTTCTATTACTAGATAAATCGCTGTAATTAAAAATTAATAATAAATCAACGAAAGACAAGACAGCATAGAAGACCGGACGGCTCAACTCCAGATGAAGTTAAAAATGTGACAAAAGGTACGTCTTTCGATGAACACATGCAATGCAAGAATGAGAGAACCGAGGCCTTCTGCCTCAAATATACATAAATATATATATTTATATAATACGTATATACGTATACACACACACACACAAATAAGCAGAGCAATGCTTGGCCAATATTGCAGAAAACGCAATTTCCTGTAACCTAAAAAAAAGAGCATAGATTCATGGAAAATTTTCAGTGAAATGTTATGAATGGTGAATGCTTGGCTAATATACATGCAATGCTTGATGCTGCTGCATGTTACTGGCATGGCATGCACATGATTTGAACTTTGAAGTACATGAGGAAAAGGGAAAAGTTACTGACTGAAAACATTATCTAGAAAAATGGGAAGGTAAATAGAGATAAAAGCACCTGACCAAGATTTACTTGTCGGGTGAAAAAAGTAGAGGAAATGAAAGGGACTGGGTAAACTGATTACAGGAGGACAATGGGAAAGCTGTGATCAACTCAATGGACAAGAGAAGGCACTCGACGTAGGCCCCTTCATTAGTCCTAGCTAGAGTACACCTACTAGAAAGTAGAACCCATGAAGTTCAGTAACTGGGATCATCTCCGGATCACACCTCCAGAGCAAACTGTGCAAAGCATCCCATTCTTCCATTTTTTATACTATGACCAAAAATAAATTTAAACATTTAAAAATTCTCACACAAAACAAAGCAAGATGAAAATGGAAGGATGAGATGTTTTGTTCAGTTTACTCCGAAAGCTGAGATTAGGAGGTGATCCCAGTCCGAAATTCAGGACGGGCTTTTTACTATTGAAACAAAACAAGTGCATGTATACATCCGACAATTTACTTGCCGAACTATAAATTTGAACTACACTTTTCAACAAGAGACCACCTAATCAACGGGTCAGATTGACAGTTGCTAACAGTATTTCTCGCGAGAGAATATCAAATGGTTAATCATCACTTAACTTAAGCACGTAAGATATGGGAAAGAGTGACGATGATACGATGATAATGATCAACTCTTTTAACTGAAATATAAGCATATGAAACTAATTAAAATTTTGGCAGCTAAACCTTAACTAAAGTAAGGAGAAAAGTGGAGAGAATGGAAAGGAGGAGCTCCCTTCAGTCCAAGCGCAGAGAAAGAGGGATGTAAAATATCTCCCGCATCATTCACACAACCACAGTAGCAAATTGTCTGATGATTTCGGAAAGGCATAAGTCCCACATTCGATGATGGTCCATCTGCAGCCGCTTCTAGTCCGGTCCGAAAGTGCCACATCTGAGAGCAACATATATGAATGTGCAGCAGGAATGAAGGAAAGTAATAAGACCGGATACTCCTTTAATCTCTACTGAGTGCTTGAGTGAATGAGTCGGCAGCTACTTCGACAACCCTATCAAATCCTATCCATGAGTGGACTGAGGAAAGCTCTCTCTCACCATTTCTTCATTACTCACCATGTAATTTTAGACCTAATTAATATATTGGATAGTAATTTTGTATCAATAAATAAAGCAAAACCCACCATGCAACAGTTTAATTTCTACTGCCCTACACATTCACTCCTTCAATTCGTCGTACTACTACTTTAAAGTTGCTTTCTGACATTCATAGAAACCAATAAATTAAGCTCATGTAAATTAAACCCACCATGTAACTGCACCACTTTCACTACGACGAACTGAAATCAATGAAAGCAACATCAGCATCTGCAAATAAAAAACAAACACATATTGAATTCTTAGTCCAAAAAAGAGACATTGAATTCGTTTAGTCAAATTTTCATATGGAAGAGGGCTAGCTTGCTATTTCATTATATCGAGAGCTGTTTCCATTAAAAAAATGCCCAAGGTTTAGCTTAATTAAGAGCAACCCTAATCCTTTCTATGGATTCTTAAGGGGAAAGGGGAAGATCTAAATAGGTAAAGATATATAGATTCAGAAAGTGCGAATTCTTTTCTCAGTCCCAAATATGGCTATTTATCACTACCCACAAAATTTTCTAATTCATTGAGTAGGTCCAACACGCACAATTTAAAAGTTATGTTTGTCTCAGATTCTCCCAGAAGGCTAAAATAAATTAAGACTGTCTATTTCAGAAATCTAGAGTAGTTTACTGATTAAGAACCCAAGTTTCATCACGAGCATATAAATTTACAGTTGAAAAATAACTCGTTAAGTGAATTTAAATAGAAGATGGCATATTTTTTTACAGTTCAAAAAAAAAAAATTCGTTCTTTGAGGAGGCTAAGCTAACAAGTGAATCTGTAGCAAACTGAAACACAAAGAGGCCTAATCATACGAGAACACTATATCACTTAAAAGAAGAGGCTAATAGTAATATAAACAGACTTAAATCTTACAAATAAAACCCATTTTCTGCTTTAGACTAAATCAATTTAAACAAAATTCAAATGACCAAATACAATATCAGACCAAAGTACTGCAGCTAGAAGAGAGTAAAATCCCCCAATCCCAATAAAAACTACTTAAGTACCAATATATAGAGAGAGGAAAGAAACCATTGATTTGTGATGAAACTTCCAAGCAGCTAGTAGTAGTCCATGTCTGCAGAATATAGGATCCACAAACAGTGCACAAAATAGTGGAAGAGACTACTACGAAACCCTAGAATCTAAGTAATTAGAAGCGTTGTAGCGTTGTTCAAAACCCTAATCCATATTTATTTTCCTGGCAGGTGAAGAAGAAAAGGGAGTTGCCGAGAAGAGAGAGAGAGAGAGAGGGAGAGTTTTAATATGTCTTAAGGCAAAAGGAAATGATGGGTCATTGGCCATATGAGAGTCAGACAGAGGAAAGCGACTCAAGATCTAAGGAAATCTCACGCAGGCCAGAGAGGAGAGAGGTGGTCACTTTTCTGCTTTCAGGAGAGTTTTCGCTGTAAGATAGTCATGAAGGTAAACATGGAAGGATTTGTGAGAGATAATTCTAAGCAGTCTCTCCTCTCTCTCTCAAACACACACACACAGAGTCACACTCACCCACCCCAACACGCACATGTAAACAACAATTTGGCTGACGCAAACAAAGGACAAGAATACACACACACACATATATATATAGACATGGATTGGATATGAGTTTGGAGTTTGTACTGTAGCCTTCTGTTATCATGGTACATAACATACATCAATCCTAATTTGACCCAAAAAAAATCAACACAAATGTGATTTCCACCACATATACATGGAAGGAGATTATTTTCGGATCTTTCCCTTCAAAATCCAAGAATCAAGTGATCCGGATCTTTAAAATTTGATCGAATGGCTAAAAACAGAAAAGTTAGTAAAAACTTTCAAAAACTATTATAATTTTTGACCGTTTGATCAAATTTTAAAGATTCAGATCACTTGATTCCTGGGTTTAAAGGGAAAGATCCGGAAAGGATCTCTTTCCCATATACATTTACTTCCACCACTGCAGGAAAGCATCATCTTGTACAAAGCAATTTATTTGAAGAAAGACAAGAAAATATGGTAAAAATAGGGTTAAGTGTATGTTACACATTTGGATGTCGTTTGCAAAATGAAACACGTGGTTTAAATTTTTACATTATATCACACTACGTGGTTTTTGAATTGCACCAATTTAACATCTCCGTCAATTTCACCAACTAATTAGACGTTAAGTGCTAATGTAACATAGACTAAACACTAAAATTGATGGTCAACATCTGCTTAAAATGTACATCAAGTCTATGCTACATCAACATTTAAAGTTTAATTAGACCGTAAAATTGACAAAGACGTTAAATTAATACAATTCAGAAACTATGTGATTTATTATGCAAAAATTGCAACTCGTAGCGGATTTTACAAATAACTCCCAAACTTCTTGTGTAAAATACAATTAACCCAAAAAAATATTATGGAATGTGTACAACCGACAGCCCACGTCTCTGTCTGAGAGCCTACTGCGTCTGCGTGCACTATCACAGTCCCACTCCCACTGTAGCTACCACTTGGGGTTTTCTTTTCAAAGCCTCTGCAGCAATCAATGAAGGATGTAAATTGTTCTGTTTCTAAACAGTAAATACCACAGTGGCAGTAGTAGCCAGTAGGGGGGGATCCCTTCAGTTTTAGGGTTGGTATGTACGCACAAAAGACACAATCAAATTCATGAGTCACGTCATGTTCTTTTTATCATTTTCTACCGAGACAGGTTTTACCATCATCCTGTTTCACTTTATGTACGAGAAATGCTATCATTGTTAACAATTTTTTCACCATAGGCACTGTTCCTTTGGGATGAATTTTTTTTAAAAAAATGGACAAATTTACATGACAGCCATAGCCCTTGCCTAGCACAGTTATTCCATCATCGAGTTCGGACGTAGCTATAGCTACAGTTCCAGATTCTGATTGTGTTGGGTGTTAAAGAGGGAATGCACAAATTCAGTCGGTTCTCTGATTGTGGAAACCAGACGGGCATCTGTGCATTTTTTTAGCTTAGTCTTGTTTGCCATCATCATATTGTATACAATGTCTGAGCCTCTGAGAGACTGCAATATTCCCATTTTTCACCATGGCATAAAATCTACACACTCATTGCTCAATGGGGAAGTGCGCAAGAATCAAATCAATTGCTGAACGACAGTCCTACGTTATCGTTGCCACCACCAAAAAACCAGATGGTCTCAATTTTCAGTCTGGTTTTAGTGTAATGGCCAACTAGAAATCAAATTACAACGAGAATGTTTGAGGGTGCTGATGTTTTAGGGTTTTGTTAGAATCGGTTTTATTAGAAACATATTGGAACTTTTGTAAGAAACAATGTGTTTCACATAAAAGCATTGTACTTTTCTATATCAAACGCTATTATATATAAAAGTGCTTTTGATATCCTAAAAGCGCTTTTGATTTTTTAGAAGCACCACAGTCTATGACTATTTTATGTAGAAAGCACTTTTGTTAAAAAACGTTTATGCTAGAAGCGTTTAAAATTTGAACATGTTTGAGTCTAGCTAGTGTTTTTCCAAAAAAGCTTTTACAAACTATAGCTCTTTGAGTTTTATGTTAGATGTAATCAGAAGTGTTCTTAATTAGTTGTAAAAGAAAAAACTTTTAACCCTTTTAGAAGCAATGTCAAACATATCATTAACTATTCTAAAAAAACTCTTTAAGTAGGCCTATCAAGTTACAAGTACAAGAAGGAAATAGATGCTTATTAGTAAAGATGTTGGGGGAAACCCTAGCCTGCTGGTCCAAAGATTCTTCGAAAGCTCTATTGCTGGTAAACATGAAGGGGAAATATGTAATAAACTGATAGCAGTCAGAAACTTCCAATGCCCAAGAAGCAATAACCAAATGATGCAAATTATAGGCGTCAACTCCTCAGCCAAAGATCCATGACGCAAAAACAAATAAAGGATTTTGCCAAATTGTGGTCCCAAAAGACACAAGTTGAAACTATTTGAGTAGCATAAGGAAAGTGAACAAGTAAAATATTGGATTATTGACCAAATGTGTGAATGCATGAGCCGTTTTTGTATTACTTTTTTCAGCACTAAAAAAAGACATGAAGATTGGACGGATGACGAGGATGGTACGACTTTGATTCCACAATTCTGGAGCCATATACTGTGGGGAGCAGCAACAGCAAGCCAGGCTATGTCATTGGACCACCAACAATTCTGGATCCGGCATTATCCTTATTAGATTCATGTCACTCATATAAAAAAAAAACCTCCTTAAAAGGTTCATTGACTTTTAATGCAAAAGCTAATGGACCACTTAGGCTTCTTATATATTGCATTTCGTGGCATGCAGCAACGTCATGAAGTGTAATGGCATGTTTGGAGGAATTTTCAAATAGCAAGGCAATTGGACAATAGTTAGAAATGAGCCCTACAGATGATTAAATGGAGGGTTTTGAAAGGATTATGCAATAGCATGTTCACTTACGTGAAATGATATCGGTCGTTCCAATTTTTTTATTTTCCCGCATTTACTAAAACATGAGTATTATAATTATTTCACGTTCTAATTATCTTAAGTTTACTAACATGTGGAATATATAAAAAGGGTTTCGCTACAAATCCGTAATCCAATGTATGAAAATCAAGAATACTTCAAATCCATAATCCAATGCAATATAAATAAAAGATCATATTAACTGGGAGGCTTCTTGATCTCATTCTCATTTCTTCTTTTGCGGATTCATAACTTTACCCAATCAAAGTATGTGTAAACATGTGAAGGGATTAGCAACTCTTTTATTTATGTCCTTGTAAAGGTTATGTAAGGAGTGCATTTCATACTCTAATAATTTTTGTTTTCCCTTTTTTGTCAGGCAATATTCTTTTAGATTATTTCTAACTCATTTAACCTCGATCTTTTGTTACTTGCTAATCTCACATCGGAAATAGTGCAAGTGCCTCAGCTGTTAATCACTTCACCTTTGTATAAAACCCCTATTCGGTTTCTCGTAACAGGAAGAATTCTTTAGTCCGCAGTTACAGGACACAGGAGTCGAGTGTGACCAAAATACAATGTAGATGAGGTATTGTGTCCGCGATCAGAGAGATGCATGAGAATAACTTGTAATTATTAGTGAAGAGAGAGGAGAGTCGTATCTATACAAAGAAGATAACACATGAAAAGGGGTCCCCCGGCTATCAGAGGCCACGGTTTTGCATCTACTATTTTTCATCATCCATTCGGATCATGGATGACCTCATGATTGCAACATATTGACATAATATCGATCCGCATCTCGTCTCCTCTAGTTATACCTTTCCATCTGATTACCTGGAGGCAACCTGATGATGATACAATGCTATCAGACATACATTCATTTTTGCCTATATAACAAAACCAAAGCGAGACCGTCTCAAGAACGCTGCTCATATATCTACGCTCCACAGGTAGAACACTCGGAGTTTAGAAAAACTGGAAAAATAAACTCGTTGATCCATCCCCAAATGTTCGCAAATCCGCAGGTTTTACTACTGACCTGCATAGCGGGCAAGTTCTTTCTCTCTCAAACCTGAAAAAAGGTAAGTAGTTGTCAGTTAGTTGAAAGGGTTAAAAGGTGAACATAAGCGAAGCACTACGACATTGTAAAACAGTTGAAACATACTAGCCGCAGCCAGTAGTGACCTAGTAGGATTCTAGTTCAACCACGAACCAACAACATCCACAAAAAGTGTCATGCAGTTGACCCAACTAGCAAATAGATGGGTCCCAAACTACTTGGCGCAAAGCGAAACTTGCCGCAGGCAGAATTTTGTTCCAAGGCCATGACCCTTTTAAAGAGAGATATTTGGCTCATCATTAATACTTATAAACAACACGCAAGAAGCATTACAAGACAAACCATAAGAAACTCACATTCCAATATTTCTGATATAATATTGCGATCATTGATTTTAAAACTTGATGAGAAACATAAGGTAAATAAGCTAACCATTCAGAGACACAATCCTCGCAGAAAATATGTTTACAGCGCAACAGAATCGGAGCATGTATCTTCTCCTGGCAAATGGCACAAAGGTCTCCCGCTGCGTTTACCTGATTCAATATACGTGTGAGCTAGAATGCACAAGTAACAACTTAGGCAGAAAAACAATAACAGTATTCACCATGTAACACTAAACATGGATTAATGCATACAGAAGCAAGGGAGGAACCAAACTGAAACTACCCACCTTTCTAGGTGACAAATGTTAAGCTCTAACCGGCCATTTCATAGACATGCTTGCATGCATAAAAACATATGTGCACATACATGGAAAATCATCATTGTTTTTTAGATGAACTCTTAGCATGAAAAGAGATATCAAAGTTTTGATTCAAGCTAGGAAAGAAACCTCAAAGTTGTTCCAGTAAACAAGTTAACCGCACACTACTACCAAAAGGCAGGAAGAGGTTACTTATAAATAAAAGATTAAAACTTATAAACTTCAAAATATATGTTACTAACTAGATTCTACTTCGGTATCAGGAAAATAAAAACCAAGAGTAGTAGGTCAAAGATTAACATTAAACAAGGATGCATAAAGGATGGGTAGAGCTTTTTTTCCTTG